TGATGGTCACAACATTGTAAATATACTTAATGCCACTGAATTCTACACTTAAAAATGACTAAATTGGTACACTTCATGTTATATATACTTTTCCCACAACTTGGAAAACATATCAAAGATTGATTGCCAGGGACTTGTAGGGATAGAAAAATGAATTGGTGGAACACAGCAGGCTTTTAGGACAGTGAAATTATGCTGCATGGTACTGTAATGGCAGATACATGTTATCATACCTTGGTCAAAACCCATGGCATGTAAAACACAAAAAGTGAACCCTGATTGGCTGAAGCAACTGAGTGGCAGAAGCTGTTAAAGGAGCCAGAGCTGCCAGTTAAACCTAATCAAGATGACAGTCTCCTCAAAGCACCAAAACTTCACAGCAGAGTCCAGTGGAGAGCCTGCCTGACATTTGTGAATCCTGGGCCAGAAGCTAGAGGAAAGGGAATTTGACCAGGGCAAAGTGGCCCCTGGCCACTAAAGAATGATGAAGACCTCTCCTGGGAATGACTGAAGGATGCATGTGGCACCACTGCCAGGAAGTCTGGGTACTGCTTTGGGTGCCTTCGAAATTGCTGTGATGCCTTCTTGTGATGCTCTGTGGGGAGCCCTTGGCCCCAAGCCCAGCGCCGAGTGTCCAGAGTCTCCAGAGTTTGCAGCCAAGTGGGGGCTTCCTCTCTGTCCTCTACAAAGGAAAAGGTTGCTGTTGTCACACTTGCCTCCGACTAACTCCAGGGTCTTTTAGGAGTTCTCTCCCCTCATCATTTCTACCTTTTTGGATCTCTCACTCTTGCATGCATCTCCCTTCCTTATTCCTTTACCAGTTCCATGGCAACAGTTACCAACTTTCCTGAGTGGATTCCTGGTTCCTTCTCTCACCCCAGTTCACCTCTGGTCTATATGATCCTTTGGCTCCTGTTTTGGCAGAACAGTCACTGTCCTTGTAAAGTTTTTTAGATCAATACAGGTAGTGGCCTTAAAAGGAAAAGTGAATCTTATTTACATGATGGACTTAGTAAATAATAATGTAATATTATGGGTTCAATTGTAATAAATAAACCACACTAATGTAAGATATTAATAATAGGGAAACTATGTTTGCCTGGGGCAGGAAGAGGTTTTGGGGAACTCTGAGCTTTCTACTCAGTTTTCTGTGAACCTTAAGTTGATCTAAAAAATAAATTTTAAAAGACCATCATATGAATATGTTTGTAACTTGCTTGTTATTAAAATCTTTCCAAGAATTCAGCCTAGGCTGGGGCTATAGCTAGGTGGTAGAGCGCTTGCCTTGTACATATGAGGCACTGGGTTCGATCCTCAACACCACATAAAAATTAATAAAGGTATGGTGTCCATCTGCAACTAAAATAAGGAGAAGAATTCAGCCTGGACAGTCAAGGGCAAAAAGTTAAGTATAGAGTGGCATTGGAAAGGTTAGCTAAAGGATTAAATGCAGCTGTTGAGAGATTCAGAGGAGATAGGAAGTTGTGGTAGGGGATGTTTTATGCCAAGTCCACAGAGGAGGGGGAATAGAATTTGAGAGAATGATAAAAATAAGTGAACCCCATGAATCTGAGGATCTCCAAGAGCCTGAGATTCAGAAACAGGGCGGGAGTTTCTGCTCCTGTTCAGAGAGTTCCAGTCCCCTGCTGGCAAGAGGCTGGTAGGACAGGACCAAACAAAGCATGATTAAATCTCATTTACTCTTGTGCTCAGCACATCCCATGACCTCCCTGCTAGGGTGCGGTAAACAGGTGCAAAAGTTGAGCAATTATGGAGGTCAGCTACCTGAAATTACCATGATAGAAATCTGCTGGGGCAGATAAGTTTGTGGGGCGGGAGCCCTGGGAAGGACCTACTCCACCCTAAGCCAGGATGTGTGCACACTAACCTGGCTTCCCACCTCCCTGATACCACCGTGACCCTTCTGAGTGAATTCCCTTC